CCACTGTATTAGGTGTTATTATCTCTATTTTACTGATAAGGAAACTGAGGCATGAGAGGTGGAGAGACTTGCCCCTGGTTACATAACTAGTAGCTGTCACTGGCAGAATCTGTACCCAGGTCTTCCTGACTCTAAGTCTAGAACTCTATCCACTTCACCAGGCAGCTTCCGCACTTAAATAAAGGTCAAAATGACAATGCTTGGTGCATCGTATATGGATTCAGCAACCATTGCCAATAACTCTCAGATGCTTCCTCAGTTTCCTCATCTGTAAAACTGGGGTAATAATTGTACCTACCTCCCAGGGTTGTTGAGAAACCAAAGGAGATAATGTTTGTAAAGCACCTAGCACATAGTAGAAGCTATTTAAATGCTTCTTTCCTTCCAAAAAAAAAAAAAGAGTCCCTATCCCAAAGGACTTTCCATTCTTATGAAGGAGGCACCATGTAAATCAGCAGGGACATACAAGATATGCATAGAGGATAGGGGAGGTCATCTAAGAAGGGAGGCGTGAACAATTCGGGTGTAGCTCCCAGGCAGCTCTATCCACTAGCTCCTCTTTCCATCCTGAAATATGCTGGCATCAGCAGTTCGTGCCTCACCTCCATGCCCAATTTGGGGACTTCAGAATAATGTCATTATCCTAATTTGCTCAAATTAGACTTCAGATTATCCTGTCTTAGCCCGTTGCTGCCTGGTCCCACTGCTGGTCATAACCTTGATTTATTTGCAGCCTGCTTCCATAGGAAAGCATGGTCCACCTTATCTGTCAAATAGGGATGGCTGTCGGTGACACCCAGCCTATCCTTTCATCCTCTAATGCTCAGTGGAGCCCATGATTGATGCTGACATGCTCCAGAGGGGATCTCTGGGCTGTAACTATAAATCAGAGAGTATCAGACCTGGAATCAACACAGCTGGAAGACTGACTTCAGAAGCCACTCTGTGGGTCTGACTCACACCTGAACGAGATCTCCTGTATGTTCTAGGTAAAGAGAAAGGGCCCATACACCCTTGGCCTAAGGCCCTCTCCTAAGAGGGAGGGAACTGGGTGGCTCCCAAGGTAGTGTAAGCCAGCTCTGGTACTTAGGGAAGTTTCCCCTGACATCATGCCTCAGTTTGCCTTTTTGTAATTTCCCCTCCTCGTTCCCAGTTCTCTGCCCTCTGGGATCATGAGGTCATAGAGTTTAGAGCCATCTAATCCAACCCTCTCATTTTACTGTTGAGGAAAGGGAAGCCCACAGACATGCAGGGACTCAACTTTTGTTACATGGATAGGAAATGGCACACACGAAGCCTGTTCTTCTGAACGGCGCTTTCCATTCTGCCATAGATCCAAGCAGAATGTCTCCAGTAGCTTCATACATTTCAAAGGTTTCCACATCTGTTGCCTCTCTGATACTCTCAACAACCTTGTAGTAGCTACTCCAGACATCCTTCATTACCTCAGTTTTACAGATAAGGAAGCAGGGTCCGAGCAATCTTCCCATGCAGGCTGCTAAAGGAGTAATTGGAGATGTAATAGAAGGATTTGGCATTGGGGTAGCTCAGCAGATAGAGTACTGGACTTAGAGTCAGGAAGACCTGAAGTCAAATCCACCCTCAGAAACTTACTGGCTGTGGCATGCTACTAAACAGTCTGCCTCAGTTTTCTCATGAGTAAAATGGGGGAAACTAACAGCACCTACCTTCCAGGGTTGGTGTGAAGATGAATTTGCAAAGCATTCTGAAAACCTTAAAGTGCTATATAAATGCTAACTATGATTGTTAATTATTATTAGATCTGGACTGTGCTCTGCAGGACTGAAGGCTTTCAGCTCTGGAACTCTATCCCCCTGAGCCCAAGCTTCTCTGGTTAGTGAATGTCTCCCTTGTCCTACTGGGGCTAGGGCAGCTCTGGCCAAGCCCCTCATCAGTCCTTCCACGCGAGGCTTGTAGTCCTCTCCAGCTGAAAAAGATGCGTCGATTTCCTTTATGGATAGATGGTAGGTAGATAGAGCATTTGTTAAAAGCTTGCTGTGTGCTAGGCTCCTGAATGAAGGAATAAACTAATGAGTGAATGAAAAAAAGCTTTTATGAAGTGTTTACTTACTATGTGCAAAGCGCTAAGTGTTGGGGATACAAAAAGAAAAGCCAGACAGACAGTCCCTGCTCTCAAGGAGCTCACATTTTGATGGGGGAGGCGACCACATAGAAGGTTTCAGCTTCACATCAGATGGAAAGGTTCCATTAGCCCAGGCATGCAACAGCAAAGCAGATAGTGATGCCTTTTCTTTAATGTCATTTCCACTGACAAAACCAAGTCAGTTATGGTTCTACTCACCATTCCTGTGTCTTTCCAAATTCCAACATCAAACCCTGACATAACTCTGTTTTCGTATTATCTCCCCATTAGAATGTAAGCTTCACCTTGGAGTCAGGAGGACCTGAGTTCAAATCCGGTCTCAGACACATAACACTCACTAGCTGTGTGACTCTGGGCAAGTCACTTAACCCCAATTGCCTCACAAAAAAAAAAAAGAATGTAAGCTTCTTGAGGGCAGGGACTACGTCAATCCCCAGCCCTCAGCATATTGCTTGGCACACAGTAAGCCTTTAATAATTTTTTTTCTTTCATTCATTCTAAAGTTGGAAAAGGCCCTAAAGACTATCTGATCCAACCATCTTCTTCTAAAGATGAGCCTGCCTTGGTTGATCACATTCCCTGACTCATCTAGTCCAAGCCTTGCCCCCCAAAGGATCCCCCCCCGCACATATCAGAGAATCCTGGTCTTCAGTATAGATTGGACTCCATAGCCTGTGAGAGCCCTTATAATTCTGAGATTCTGGGCAACTACTCCACCTAACCAGGCCTCTTGTTTATAAAACCAGGGCTTTAGTCTAGACCAGGGGTTCTTTTTTTTTTTTAATTTATTTTGATTTATCAGCGATCACTTTCCATATGCTTTTGAGTTTGAAATTTTTTCACCCTTCCTCCCCACCACCCTCCACAAGATGGAGCACAATTCGATACAGGCTATATATATATATATATATATATATATATACATATATATATGTACGTTCCTATTAAACCTATTTTCACATTAGTGATGTTGTTGTAAGTAAGAATTAGAACCAATTGGAGGAACCACCAGAAAGAGGAGACAAAACTCAACAGAAGAGAAAAAAAATAGCAAATAGTATGCTTCGATCTGCATTCGAATTCCATAGTTCTTTCTTTGGGTGTGGATAGCATTTTCCATCAGAAGCCCTTTGGAGATGTCTCAGATCCTTGTATTGCTGGGAAGGGTTAAGTCTATCAAAGTCAGTCATTGTACAGCGTGGCTGTTATTGTGTACAACTTTCTCTTGGTTCTGCTCACTTCACTAAGCATCAGACCATACAAGTCTTTCCAGGTTTTTTTGAAGTCAGCCTGTTCATCATTTCTTAGAGCATAATAGTATTCCATTACATTCATATACTAGAACTTGCTCAGCCATTCCTCAACTGATGGGCATCCTCTCATTTTCTAATTCTTTGCTGCCACAGAAAGAGCTGCTATGAATGTTTTTGTACATGTGGGTCCTTTTCCCATTTGTATGATCTCTTTGGGATATAGCCCTAGAAGTGCTATTGCTGGGTCAAAGGGTATTCCATAAGCTTTTGAGTTCTAAATTTTTCTCCCCCTCCCTTCCTACCTCCCTCCCCAAGATGGCTAGCAATCCCAACAGGAGGAACCACCAGAAAGAGGAAACAAAACCCAACAGAAAAAAAATAGCAAATAGTATGCTTCGATCTGCATTCAAACTCTGTGGTTCTTTCTTTGAATGTAGATAGCATTTTCCATCATGAGGCCTTTTGAGATTAGACCAGGGGTTCTTACCCTGGAGCCCACCAACTATCAAGGGACCTAATGATATATTCAAGGGGTCTGTGAACTTGGGTGGGAGAAATACATCTTTATTTTCATTAACCTCTAAACAGAATTTAGCATTTCCTTCAAATAAACACAAAAACATGATTCTGAGAAGGGGCTCATGGGCTTCACCAGGACCAAGGGGCCCAGGACACACAAGAAGACTAAAGGCCTCTCTTCTTGGTGAGCTCTGGACATCTCTCCTTTTGTTTTGCCTTTCTTTGTATGGCCAGGCCTAGTACATGGTAAAGGCTTAAAGTTTTTTCACTCACTGACTCCAGGTCCTCAGATGCTGAGAGGTACCTGTAAGGACTGGCTTCCCATCAGAGAAGGGAGACTAGAAGTCCTGGTCCAGGAGCCCTGGAGGGGAGGGCTGGTAACTAGATCCAGAGATGGAAAGGATCTTAGGGGCCATCTAGCCCAACCCTTCTGTTTGACAGATAAGAAAACTGAGGCCCAGAAACATCCATTGACTTGCTCAGTCACACAGCTGGTGAAAAACAGAACAAAGTCTTCATTTTCCAAATACGGCACATTTTTCCACTGCACCTGGTGTCCTCTGGTGACTCCAGATGGTGAAAATAACCTCTTCTCCCCCGCAGAAACTCAGATCTCTACGCATATTTGGAAATAATAATTCTGCAGCTGATCAGGCCGAGTCTGGCTAGGAAAAAGTTCCGCGTCCTCCTCCACTCCCTCACCATGGGAACCCCGAGGCTGCGTCCTGGTTACTAGGAATAGCTCCTCCCCATTCCCGCCACCCCTACCCCCTACAGAGGGCCGCTGGACTGGCAGGGGCGTCCTCAGCCGGGGTCTCCTTTCCTTTAGGCTTCCAAACACCCGCATCCTCCAGCCTTCCTTTCCAGCTGGGGAGGTGGGGCTGTCGCAGAATCCCCTCCTCCATCTGCTGGGAAACATTCGCAGGTCTCACATCTCGCTAACCCCAGGGCTCAGCCGGCCCGCCTTCCTCTTCTGGTCGATTGCTAGTGTAGCCAATTTAACTTTGCTCAGATCCCCCTCTAGTCCCACCCCTCCGGCCTTCCCTGATTGGTCAATCTTCAGACATCCCACTCCCCGCCCCCCCGTCGTGCATTGTTGCAAGATTCTAAAGTCAGAGGAAGGAAGTTGTGTGTAATTGACTTGGAGGAAGGGGCTGTCACAAGTAGTGTCTCCGGGAAGCCCAGGTCAGTAGGCCCGGAGAACTCGGCGCACCGACAACTGGACAGCCATGGAAAAAATGCCTTCTCCAGGGAAGGAGGAAGGAGAAGAAGGAGAGGAAGAGGAAGAAGAAGAGGAAGGGGCCGGTCCCGAAGGAGCCCTGGGGAAGAACCCATTCCAGCTGACAGCTGAGGATGTCTATGATATCTCCTATGTGGTGGGAAGGGACCTGATGGCCATCGCAGGGGACTCCAGGGACGTGGCCACCAGGGTCACCCAGCTCCAGTTTAAAATCGTGCGTGTCCTGGAGATGCTGGAGGCCCTGGTGAATGATTGCAATGTGACAGTAGAAGAGCTCAGGATGGAGAGGGACAGCCTTAGAAAGGAGGTGGAGGGGCTCAGGAGCGAGGGGCAGCCCCCAAACACGGAGGAGGTATGTATGTACATCCCATTGGATTCTCCTATTTATTTATTGTTTGTTTATTTTGGGGAGGTAATCGGGGTTAAAAGTGACTTGCCCAGGGTCACACAGCTAGTAAGTGTCCGTGGCCGAATTTGAACTCAGGTCTTCCTTGACTCCAGGGTCACTGCTCTGCCACTGTGCCTCCTAGCTGCCCCTGTATTATTGGCTTCAACATGGACTGTGTTTGAGGCACAAGTAGGGGGACTGGCATGGGGATTGGAGACCAGATCAGACGAAGATCTGTTAAGAAGCTGAGTGTGCTTAGCCTGGAGAAAATTAGGGATGGGCAAGTGGGCATAGGGCAGTCTATTAGCATCCCCTTTCCAGAAGCAACTCTGGTATTGATGTAGGCACTGTTCATAGAGCGTAATGTACAGCAAGGATTATGCTTCTTCTGTCTTCTCAAGACCCCCCCACCTTACCCCCCCCACATTCCTTTTACTCCTCTTTGCTCAGCAGGGAGCATCTCCAGGACCCTGACCACATTCAATAGCCCCTACCTAAAGTACAGTGTCCAGAACTGAGTCCAGCAACCCAGAGGTGTTCTGATTGTATGTATGATTGTAGGTCTCAGCCAGCCCTAGCCGGCTTATATCAAGAGACACCAAGGACTTTGAAGGGTATGCACATCTAAGCAGACTTCTAACTAGTCATTTTTGTGTCCAGGGCAGGGAGGCCCAGGCTTCCCTCCAACACTGCTTGGAAGGCCACTGAAGGGCTGGTAGGCAGGGAACAAGCTTATGTAAGCTCTGGTGATTATTCTTTTATTAAAAATGTTATTAGGGCAAGGACCATCTGACTTTTGTGTGTATATCCTCCATACCATGCATAGTGCCTGGCATATAGTGAACACATAAATACTTTTCCATTCATCCACTCATTGCTAATTAGGTGCTAAGCTCAGTTGTTTCCATGAGCTGTAGAACTGCTATTAGCAGCCTCTTGATTTCAGAGCCCTGAGAGAAACCCCTGATTGCCCCACCCTAGTTAAGTCTCTGTGAGGGAAGTCCTGAGACTGGACAGTTTTTCTGGGGAGATCTGTGTTAACTATGTAGCCAGCGTAGTGATGGGGCCCTAAATATCCACTCTCCCAGTTTCCTGTGTGGGCCAAACTGGGCACCCCAATGATGCAGCAGATGAGATACATGTTCTATAATGTGCATCTGAGGCTGCCTGTCAGGCATCTGCAGGAAATGAGGGTCAGAGAGAGCAGCTCTGTTTATCTGAGCTTTCTGGCCAGCTCATTAAAGAGGCCCTCGGTCGTCTTTGCCTAGAAGAGTCTTTGGGTGAAGCCTCTAGTGCCTGCATGGGCAGGCTTGTAACTCCTGAATGTACCTGAGCTAGACAGGTTAGCCCAATGCCAGGCTGCTGGGCAGATTCCCAGAGCTCAGAGCTTGGATTTTTGCTCGCCATCTCTCAAAGTTGAAAGACATTAGACTTATTTCTCAGGCCCAGGGGGAAATGCTTCTCTTGGGGTTAGGGAAAAGGGTGTCAGGCCCTGCACTACATCAGGATTTAGAGTCACAGACCCGCTGAGCTTCCGCAGGTTTGTAAAACATACTACTAATTACGTGGCACCTTGTTAATGTGCTGCCTTGGAGAGGGTCTAAATCCCTCAGAGTTGGAAGGGACCTCAGCAACCACCCATACCTGTTCCAGAATCCTCACTCAAACACACCTGACCAGGGGTCATCCACTCGGAGTCCCTTAAGGAAGGGGGACCCACTTCCTCCCCAACAGACAGCCCATCCCATTTTAGGGGAGCTCCAGTTCTTAGAAAGATTTTTCCTAGCATCAAACCTAAATTCACTATAGCTCCTCTTCCTGCCCTCTGAGGCCAAGCAGAACAAATCTAATCCATTTTACTCAGGATAAACTTTCAGATACTTGCAGGCAGCTATCCGTCCCCCAGAGTAACTCCAGGTCTCCCCCCATTAGAATGTGAGCTCTTAGGATGCTCTCAGAAAACCCTGAAATGTGCTGTGTTCAAAGTGCAATATTGTAAGATGATGAGGCTGTGAATGACTTAGCTGTTCTCTGTAATACAAAGATCCAAGAAAACGAGGGCTGTCCGACTTTTCTATTTGTATCCCCAGTAATTAGCACTGTGCTTTGCTTACAGTAAGTGTTTAAGAAATTCTTCAATCATTCATTCCAAGTTAAACATGTTCAGTCTCTGCAACTGACCAATTCACAAGGATTTATGAAGTGTTTCCTAGGTTCCCCGCACCATGCTGGGTGTTGTGAGTACGTTGGTTCTTTCTCTGGAGGTAGACGGCATTTTCCACCATGAGTCCTTCTTAGTTGTCTTACATCTTTGTATTGCTGAGAGGAGCTAAGTCATTCATAGTTTATCATCACTCAGTGCTGGAGTTATTGTGTCAAGAGGACCTGAGTTCAAATGCAGCCTCAGACATATTACACTTACTAGCTGTATGACCCTGGGCAAGTCACTTAACCCCAATTGCTCACACAAAAAAGTGATGAATAGATGAATGAATGCTTGTTCCTTTCCCTTCATTCCTAACTCTAGTGAATTTGGGTCTTGCCTACGGTCCCGTAAGTCAGGATTTGACTCAGGTCTGCTGAAGCCAACCCTCTTGGCACTATCCCACACTGCCTTCTTGCTTTCCTTGGAAGGTGAAGTTACATTTAAGAGACAATAAGTTAGGGGGCAGCTAGGTGTCGCAGTGGATGGAGTGCTGGCCCTGGATTCAGGAGGACCTGAGTTCAAATCTAGCCTCAAACACATAACACTTACTAACTATGTGACCCTGGGCAAGTCACTTAACCCCCATTGCCCAACCAAAAAAAAAAAAAAAGAGAGAGAGAGACAATAAATTGATCACATGCAGGAGAAAACATAATCATTTAATCATAGCTAACATTTTCATAGCTCCTGAAGATTTACAAAGTGTTTTACATACATGGTCCGATTTGATCTTCCCAACAAGCCTTACTATGTAGCTTAGGATATTCTGTCTTTATTTTTATTGATGTTTCTGTTTTTATATCATTTACCTCTCCCAAAATCACCCTCTGCTAATAGTGTGCTGGTAAATGTTTAACAATCAGCTTTTGTGGGAAAAAATATATGCAGGACACACATTTAAATTTAATCTGTGGGGCAGCTAGGTGGCAAGGTGGATAGAGCACCATCCTGGGAGTCAGGAGGACCTGAGTTCAAATCCAACTTCAGACACATTCTAGTTGTGTGACCTTGGGCAAGTCACTTAACCCTGATTGCCTCCAAAAAGAAAAAAAATTTAATCTCCTTTATTAACATTTTCTCCATCACCTTCTAATTCCAGATAATCCACAAAAACAATAAATCAAGCCCTGATTTATAGCATTTGCCATTTCTGAGGTATAAATGCTTACACTGAAAATTTAACAATCAGCATACCCTTTCCCTCCCAAAGAAGCATCCCTTATAAAGTATCAAAAAGGGGAAAAATTTTTCAGCAAAACTAATATATCAAAAAATTATGACATTATGTTCTGTGTTCTATATTCGTTGTCCCTCCATCTCAACAAAGAAGTGGGGAGAGGAGCCTCCTCATGGCTCTTCTTTGGAGCCAAGCTTGTTCGTTGTCATTTTCCAGCATTCTGTGTCAGTATTATCCCCATTTTATAGATGAGTAAACTGAGACTCCTAGATGTTCCAGAATGCATAGAAAGTATGTCTTGCAACTCCAAGTCTAACAGGCTAGTCACTGTACTTTGCTGCCTCTTTGGACCTTTCCTAGTTCTTAGAGAACGTTTGTGTGGGGAGTCATTAAACTTGTGGATTATTCAGGCTTTACGGACATGGACAAACATTTTTAGAATAAAATTTTTTGACAGATGAAGAAACTGAGGCAAACAAGGTGAAGAGGCTTACCCAGGGTCTCACAGCTGGTAAGCATTTGAGGCGGAATTTGAATTCAGGAATATGAGTCTTCCTGGCTCCCTGCACTCTATGCACTATGGCGCCCCCTAGCAGTCCAACAATTGTTCTTAATCCCATTAGAATGTCATCTCCCTGAAGGCAGGCATTGTTTCATTTCTGTCTTTATATCCCCAGGGCCTAGCTTCTTGGTGACTAATAAATGAGCTCACTAAATGCTTGTAGATTGGTCGATCTACTCTGTCAAATGCAGAGAATGTTTTGCTCTGGTATCAAAGCATAAGCTAAAATAATGCTTTCAAGAGACTTTCACTCTTCATTTCTATAAAGTTTGCAGATTTAGGGCTCCCAGAATCCCTCAAACCACAGAAAGAATGAAAATGTCTTTCAGGCTTTCAGAAAAACAGGATTCCTGTATGCCCTCTCCCTCCTCCCTCTCTCCCCTTCTCCCTGCCCTCTCCCCCCTTCCCTTCTTCCCTTCTCCCTGCCCTCCCCTTCTTCCCCCTCTCCCTCCTCACTGACCTCTCCTCCTCCCCCTTGTCCCCTCCCTCCTTCCCCTCCTCCCCTCCCTCCTCCCCTCTCCTCCCTCCCCCTCGTCCCCCTTCTCCAGTAAGAGGAAGCCAGACCATCTGTTTCTTGTTTCACAGGTGAACCCAGGGACCAACAAAGTTGTAGTGGATCTGACAGACCCCAACCGCCCCCGATTTACGATGCAGGAACTCCGGGACGTGCTGCATGAGAGGAACAAGCTAAAATCCCAGCTGCTGGTGGCTCAGGAAGAGCTCCAGTGCTACAAGAGGTAGGGGCAGTGGAGGGGGGGGGGGGGTCAGGGGCCAAGGCTCTGCCTGTGTCCAGGATTCCCTCTTCGTTCTGGAGTAGGAGCTTCTCCCATACCCTTACACAGAGCTGGAACTAGGGTACTATGACTGGGGCTAAGCCCTAGGGTACCTAAATTTAGAGGGGGTACTGATGGCAGCTTCACTCTTTCAGCAGTATAGAAATAACTATAGCACCTAATTAGCAAAAATTATTAGTTAAAATAGGAAATTGTGAGGTGCTAGCTCTCCCCCTGCCCTCTCCGTGCCCCTCTCTAGCAGTTGTTTCTAAGGTGAGGGCCTCCCTGATTCTGCTCTTCTCTGACTCTACCCCAGAATGAATTGCAGGCACATTTAGTGCCACTAACCACAGACACAAGGATGTCTTAAAATGTTTAGATTTGATCTGCTGAGATCCAGAACTAGTAACAAGCAGTCATTACAAGCATTTATTAAACCCTTACTGTGTGCCAGTCACTGTACTAAGCACTGGATATACAAATGAAAGCAAAAGGGACAGTCCCTGCCCTCAAGGAGCTTACATTCTAGTAGAGGAAAACACCACACAAAAGGGGAGCTGGAAAGCTGGGGAGAAAAGGGAGAGAAGAAGGTCCCCTCGGGAAAATAGGGTATTGAAGTCCAGAAAGTCAGAAGCCCGACTGGGAAGGGAGGCATGGTGGGCCAGCCTGGGCCCTCCCTAGGAAACAGTGAGTGGGAGTGAAGGGGAGGCAGATTCAGTGTCCATGTCAGGAAAACCTTCCTAGTGAAGGAAGTTAGGAAGGAGAATGTATCGCTTGGAGAGGTAATGAGTTTCCCATTACTTGTTGGGGATGGAGTAGAGGGGTTTCCTGTTTAGGTACCGTTATCCCTTCCTTATTGAGACTTTCCCCATTGCTTTTTTCACTGTATCACGGGTCAACATAAGAAATTAAAAGGGAATTTTGGGGGGAGTTTTGTGGAAACTGCAGGTGACACGGGAAGACCAGCAGATGATATAAAGCCGATGGCCAAATACTTACCCAAATTTGACAGTAAGGTACTGTGAACAGCCCATAAAAGAAAAATTTTAAAAAATCAGATTTCTTCTCTGGTAAGAAGAGAGGGCCAAAAGATTTACATGGCTTTTCCAGGTCATGGTGGCACCATGCCCCCAGCCTCCATGATGTGGGAGGGATAACTGTAATTTGGGCCAGATGACCACTGAGGTGCCTTCCAGCTCTGAGGTTCTGTGATTTCTTAAGTACAGTTGAAGTAACAAGACCACAGTTCACCAGTCTGGGGTTCATGTCATCAGAGAGAGAAGCCTGATGGTTATTACAAGTCATGACAGAGAGAGGGCAGTTGATTGACAGCTGTTTTCCTCTGCCAGCTGAGTGAACCCTCAATACAAACGCTGTCAATAAATCTCATGCTGGAAACCAAAAAAATGGAGGGCAGTCAACTGAGGGGTCTTAGAGGTAGGGTGGGAGAGCAGGGCAAGGGGACGTTGTTTTACTGCAGGACAGGCACAGCAGGACTGCCCATTTTCCACTGAATTAGAGGCTCATTTAAAGTCCCTGTGCATGGAGAGGAAAGATCCTGTACCCCTTTTCCTTTGCTTCCAATAGTACCTAAAAGGTAGAGTGGGAGGGGAGCTGCATTTATAGTCAGAGGGCATTGGCTTGAATCCAAACTCTGCGGGAATTGGCTGTGTGACTTTGGACTAGTCAGTAACCCTTCTGGGTCTTTATTTCCTTATCTGTAAATGAAGGGGATTGGACTAGATGATCTTTAAAGTGCCTTTCAGCTTTAAGTCTGTGACCTATGAGTCAATCAACAAACATGTTCGGTCATTTTTCAGTTGTGTCCAATTCCAGTTGTGACCCCATTTGGGGTTTTCTTGGCAAAGATACTGGAGTGGTTTGCCATTTCCTTCTCTAGCTCATTTTGCAGATGAGGAAACTGAGGCAAACAAGGTTAAGTGACTTGCCCAGGGTCACCCAGCTAGTAAGTGTCTGAGGCCAGATTTGAACTCAGGAAGATGCATTTTCCTGACTCTATGCCACCTAGCTGCATTGATTAAGGTACCATGCTAAGTGCTGGGGATACAAAGAAAACCAAAAACCAGTCCCTGCCCTCAAGGAAATACATTCTAATAGGGGTGAAGATGCAGTACCGGGTAGATAAAGACAATCTAAAATAATAATATCTAAAAGTTCGTTAGTGCTTTAAGGTTTTTGATCCTCACAAGCACCCTGGGAGGTGGCTGATAGTATCATCCCCATATTAGAGATGGGGAGACCAAGGCTGGAGACACTTAGGTGCCTGAGCAGGGTCACACAGTTAGTAGGTGTCTGAGGCAGGATTCAAACTCAGGTCTCCCTGACCCTCTGGGCTCCCCCCATCCCCTCTGTCTACCACGCTACCGCCTCGCTGCTTACATAGATGAACGCATTAGCAGCTGGAAGGACTGGGACTGCTAGCGTGCATGGAGGTAGAGCTGAGGAGGAAGAGAGTTCTAGTCCAGTGGGACAGCCGGTGGAGTGTTGTGATCTAGGAACCACAAGGAAGCCAGTTTGACTGGACCCTGGACCATAGAGTTTATGGAGCAGAGTAAGGGTAAAGATAGAAAGTTAGGAAGGGGCCGGGCTATGAGGTTTTAAATGCCAAAAAGTTTATTTTTGATCCTGGAGGTGACAGACAACAATTAGGACTCATTAAAAATGGGGGCATGACATGATGAGATATACACCTTGAAAAAAATGACCATGGCAGCTGAGCGGAAGATGAACTAGAGGCAGGGAGAGGAGTTAGAGGGGTCTGAGCTAGGGCAGTGACTGGGTGAGGGGAAAGGCATTGCAAAGGTAGAAATGATAAGATTGGGCTGTGGATTCAGACATGTAAAGTGAGAGAGAAAGAGGAATTAAGGATAACATTAAGATTTTAGGCCTGTGGGGCAGCTAGGTGGCATAGCGGATAGAGCACTGGCCCTGGAGTCAGGAGGACCTGAGTTCAAATCTGGCCTCAGACCAGATTTGTGTGACCCTGGGCAAGTCACTTAACCCTGATTGCCTCAAAAAAACAAACAAACCCGATTTCACGCCTGGGTGACATGTAGGATGGTGGTACCCTCAACAGTAATGGAAGAGCTTGGAAGGATGAGAGGGTAAGGGCTGGGAAGGGATTAGTTTTTGGGGAAAGAGAATGAATTCTATTTTGGACATGTTGATAACTAACGTGGAAATATGTTTACAGGATTGCACATGTATAGCCTATTTCAGATTGCTTGCTGTCTTAGGGAAGGGGAGAGGAGGAAGGGAGGGATAAAAATTTGGAACTCATAAGCTGTTAAAAATGAGTGTTGAAAACTATGTATGTAATTGGAAAAATAAAATACTATTTACATAACAAAACCCCCATATTAACCAATTTTGTGTTGAGATGTCCAAGAAGCAGTTTTGGGGGTGGGGTGACTGTAACCCAGCAGAGAGACCAGGGCTAGAGCTGGAGCTCTGGGAATCATCTGAGTAGAGATGATAATGGAACCCATGAGAGTTGATGAGATCACCAAAAGAGGAAGCTTAAAGGGAGAAGAGCCCACAGAGCCTCAGGGAACACCCAAGGTCAGACCTAGACAAAACCAGTAAAAGTGTAAGTGAGAAAGAACCAGCCAAAGGCACAGGACGGGTCAGACAGGAGGAAGATGAGGAGGAAGTAGCATCCCATAAACCTAGAGAGGAGAGAGTATCCAGATGGAAATGGTGGTCATCGATGCCAAAGCTACAGAGAGGTCACGGATGATTGAGGATGGAGGAAGGGCCACTCTATTTGGCCATTACCAGATCTTTGGTAACTGGAGAGTGAAGTTTCAGTTGAATGGGTGAGACCATGAGCTGGATGGCAGAGCAGAAGCTTTACAAGGCAAAGCAAGGGATAGGAGAGGAAGCAGAAGCAGAGATTACAGTTGGCTTTCTCAAGGAGTTTAGTTATGAAGGGGAGGAGAGATCAAGTGAATCAAGTAAAGAGCTTTTTAAAGATGGGGGAAACATGGGTATGTGTGTAGGTAGGAGGGAAGGAGCCAGTAGATGGGGAGAGGCTGAAGGTAAGTGAGAAGGGCGTGATAGAGGGCCATTCTGTCAGAGAGGTTATAAGGGGATGAGATCACTTGTGCATGTACAGGGGTTTGCCTTGGTAAGGAGATGGGACACATCTTTACATGAGACAGGGTGAAGGAGGAGACAGTGGAGCAGGCATCTGAGGGATTTGAGATAAGAAAGGGGCCTCAACTGAAATCCTTGACTAACAGGATGGGGGGAAGGGGTGCAAGGTGGGGGCAGTGGAGAAATCGACACAGAGTACTCTTGAAAAATTTGAGAAGAGAGTAGTTTCATCTGGGTCATTGAAGGCTTCAGACCTTCACCTGAGTTGAGCTTTGAAGGGATTAAAAAAAGATCCCGAGGGGCAGCTAGGTGGCACAGTGAATAGAGCACCGGCCCTGAAGTCAGGAGTACTTGAGCTCAAATCCGGCTTCAGACCAAACACTTGACACTTACTAGCTGTGTGACCCTGGCCAAGTCACTTAACCCCAATTGTCTAAAGGAAAAAAAAAAAGATCCCAAAAGATGGAGATGAATGGCCAGACATCCAGAGGTGGGAGATAACATGTCAAGTTTGAAAATCAATTAGTTATTCAAGTTTGTTGTGATACACAGAAATATGTTTGGTAGGAATGGGGCTGTGTCTTCACAGAAGAGCAGGGCCAGGCCAAGCCAGTTACCCATATGATTCAGGCCCCAAATTCTTACCATTTTGGAGACCGAACCCTTGAGGCATGAGAGAGGGACATTAACTTCCTTGTGGCTGTGAGAGAGTGATAAGGCAGGTGGCCAGGCCAGGCCTAAGAGGGCTGCTGCCAGGAACTGGACAAAGCTGAGGAGAGGGTGGAGAGTGTGGAAGGGGAGGAGGAAGAGACAGGAGGAATAATTTCCTCCACACCACCCACATTTTTAAGCTGGGTTTGGTTTGTTGAAGTGAACATTTTTCACAGAAGAGCGTCCTTAGTTCATGATTAGGGGTGGGGCTGGACACTGGGCTTTGCACTGCCTTTGAAGTTGGGTTACTGAGTAATAACTGTTGAGTGTATATGTGTGTGTGGACACACTCGCAAATGCTACATAGGAGACATGGCTTACTGCCTTCACAAATCTATACTCAGTTCAACAAGCATTTATTATTAATAATAATAAGGTATGCAAAGTGCTTTTGATCCTTACAACAACTCTGTGAGATAGGTGTTATTATTATCCCCACTGTACAGATGAGGAAACTGAGGTAGCATAAATGACATGTCCAGAGTCACACCTCTAAGTGTCTGAGGCAGGATTTGAACTCAGGTCTTTCCAACTCTATGTATAATACTCTATCACCCAGCTGCCTCGTTAGAGTTGAGAGACCAAATGAAAAGTCACTCCTTTCTTTTCTCCCCTTCATTTAGTGGGCTCATCCCACTGAATAACAGCCAGCTGGCAAGAAGAGATCCCCAAGCTCTCATGACCAGCCCCTCGAGTTCAAAAGGAGGCAAACAGGAGAAAACCGTCATCAGGAAGCTGTGAGTGCTGCTGAGCCGGGGGGGCACTGTGGGGAAGCAGCGGGGTCCAAGGGCCAACCAGCAGAGAACAGGAAAGCGGCTGGGCCTTTTCCTGCTTGCACAGGGGAGCTTGGCCGGGGCCGTCCACTCTGACAAGGCGCGCTTGGGCCTGGGAGAGCTTTCCTGTTGCTCCAGATTCAGAGCTGAATCTGGGTAACAGATGCTCCCCCATGGGGTGGAGGCTGCTTTTGGGGCTGGCCCTGTGATGCTTCGGGGTGGGAGCCCCCTTCACCAAGCAGATCAGCTGCAGCTTATCTGTAACTTATAGGCTTAGAGAGATGGGAGTGGGGGGCAGTGCTCTGAGTCCTCATGGAGCTGCCCAGGTGGGGCCAAGGAAGGACTCTAATCCAGGTCTCTCTGTTTCATCCACCACACCCCACAGTCTCACTAAAGAAAGACTCATTCCAAAGGGTCAGTTTATCAGCAGTAGGGTGGGAAGGCTTTCTGGGGGGGTCGTCTGGGTTTCTTACACTTTTCTGTTTTCAGTGCACTGTGACCCGTCCCCTCCCCTCCCCCAGACCTTTTAGCTGTTCTTTGAGCACTGCTGACTCCAGGTTGCCCTCATGTGTGGGACCTCTCTCCCTCTTCCCCCTGGCTCCTCCTGGCTCTGCCTGGCTTCCTTCAAGACTCTTACTCAATCCTATCTTGCACAAGAAGCTTTTCCCTTAATGCTAATGCCTTCCTCTGAGCTTGCCTTCCCCTTACACAGACTAGATCCTGGGTGTATGTAGTTATTTTCACATTGTCTCCTCCATTAGAATGTGAGCCCCTTGAGGGCAGGAACTGTGCTTTGACCTTTCTTTGTATGGTCAGCCCTTAGCACAATACTTGAAATAGAGTAGGCATTTATTTAATCAGTGTTTGGTGATTGACTGACCAGTAGGGTTAATAAGACATGTACAGCATCTGGAACATAGTAGGTGCTTAATAAATGCTGTTGATCGATGTATACAAATAAATACTATAAATGTTGTAACATATACATAAAAAGAACATAAAATAGTATGAGTCAGAGGGAGAGAGGGGAACAGAGAAGAAGAGAGAGAGGACAGAGAGAGGAGGGAGAAAGAGAGAAGAGGGAGAGAGGTTGAGGGAGAGAGGGAAAGAGAGAGACAGACAGGAGGGATAAGAGAAGAGGGAGAAGAGAGAGAGAAAGAGGAGAGAGATATGGGGGAGGGGAGAGAGAGGAAAGAAAAGAGAAAAAGAGGTGGAGAAGAGAGAAAGGGTGAGGAAGGGAGAGGGGAGGGAAGCAGGATGAGGGAGAGAGAGGATGGGCACCAGGCAGTGTGGTGTAGTGGATTGAGAGCTGGGGTCAGAGCCACAAGACCTGGGTTCATTTTCTACCTCTGACATCTCCTGGCTCTGGTCCTCCTGAGGAAGTCACCCTCTCTCTTAGTCTAGAAGCTGAGGGTGTCAACCTGCATCAGCAGAGTCTCCTTTTCTGGAGCGTTTCATGTCCCTGACCCTAAGAGAGCAGCTGAGGGAGGGAGCCCTTCAGCTTGGCAGACAGAGTAACCACATTCAGTGTGAAGGACCTGAGGGTAAAGGCCTGGAGAAAAGCCACCTGGACCTCCCCAGTGAAGGAGAGAGGCCTTGGGCTCTTCTCAGGCTAGGGAGCATTTCTGGGAAACCGAGGCAGGGCACACTTGGCTCAGTATTGGGAGGCCCTTCTGCCCAGGCCACCGCTTTAGGCATGGCCGCCCTGACCGCTGCTTTTCTGTCCCAGCTTCTCTTTCAGGTCAGGGAAGCGGACCTGATCCTGAGCCCCAAGGCCTGCGCTGAAGACCTGGAATGCCTTTATTATGCCATGTGTAGATAATCAGATTTACTGACTTATTTTCCCCTAAAAAAATTGAGAAGAAAATATACAATGTTTTTTCCCTCTGCTTAATTTCCCCTTGACTCTCAGTTAAGAGAGACGAGGTGGGAAGAAAGAACACTGGATTTTGAGTCAGAGGACCTGGGTTTGAACTTTACCTTTGTGACTGAGGGCAAGGCAGTTCCCTCCCCGGGACCTCAGTTTCTCCAGCTGTAGGGTGAGGGACTTAGGCTAAGTGATCCCTGTGGTCCCTTTCCACTTTAAAGTCCTAAAAGCCCATCTGTCATCAGACTCTGGAGGCCCCACACCCAGAAGGGTGGTCAGAGCAGTTAAAATTGAACCAGTGGGCAGCTTAGAATGATGGAACAAGATTTAACTCTGGAATTAGAAACCTGGATTCCGATCCCGCCTTGTGGAGTCCGAGGAGCTGGGTTGAAACCCCACCCTCGGAGGCTTCGACCCTGCTTGACCTTCGGTGGGCCACTTACCTTTCTTACACCTCAGTTTCCTCACCCATCAAATGATGGGCCTATACCCCTGGACCTGTTTTGTCTCTAGAGATGTGCTGATGTGCTGTTGATAGGTTTTTGGGTGCTCTGACCAAGTCTTCAGGGGTTCCATTGGGATAGAGAGTGACTCAATGACATCACCCCAGAATTGACTGTTTGCTTCCACTTTTAATGTAGAAGTGAATTAAGATCAACAGATTCTTTTTAAACTCCTAGAGTGTGCAGAGGCCAATGGTAGGCATTAGGGAAAAGAAAAACTACAAAAGACAATGGGCTGTGCTCTCATGGTGCCAGCAGTGAAAATTGTCACCTAAAAGGAGAAGAGGAAAAGGCCATATGAAAAGTTTATATAAATGTCCTCTGCATTTCACCAGTTGTAACCTCATAGGACTTCAGGCTGGAAGGAACCACAGAAGTCATCTTGTCCAACCCACTGATTTTTACAGATGAGGAGACTGAAGCCCAAAATGTTGTTACACAGGCAGTAAGTGTTAGAGCAAGGATTTGAACCCAGTACCTTGGACTTGAGAATCGGTGCTCTTTTCCTCTTCACCACCATGGTATTGACTGCTCTAATAACTTTCTTTGTAAGGTTTTGTACTGAGACAAATAAAATGACTTTTCTACCTTCTGTAACTCATTTTAAAGGTGGCATTTGTTCAGAGGGTGGAAAGAGGGCGCATAAGTGAGTATGGTAGCCTGTATGTCCAGCGGCATCAGGAGGGAGGGCCTCCCCTATGTGACACCCACGTCCCGTGCAGATAGCTCTTATCCAGGCCTGATACAATTCTACCACAATTCTCCTAACCTTGTTGCTCAGTCACGACTTGAGCCCGTGGACTGTAATGTCCATGGAGTTTCTTAAGCAAAGATCCTGGAGTGCTTTGCCATTTCCTCCTCCACTGGCAAGCAGAGATTAAATGACTTGCCCAAGGTCACACAACCAGGTCTTCCTGACCAGCACTCCATCCACTGAGCCACCTAGCTAGCCCACCTCACCTTAGCTGTGTCCTAATCTCCTTAATGAGACTGAAAAAGAGGTCCTCTCGTCTATGAAGGGTGGGAGGAGTCCCTCTCGGAGATAAAAGACCACCGCTCAGATCACACCTCTCTTCTGTACTAGCTGTGGGGCCCCGGGCAAGCTGGTGAATCTCTCAAATCGGCATAACCATACTTGTATATAACTACCTCACCAGAAGAGTTGTAAGTGCTCTGAAAATGATACTGTGGAAATGAGATGTTACTATTACCAAGAAATCCTCACAAAGGGGGGCTTTTTTTTTCTTTTTTATATTTTGCTCCAGAATCCTGAGGGCCTACCCAGGCAGGGCTTGTGTCCCCTCCTCCTGTCCCCGTATGTATTATACAAGTCTCATTTTAATGGGCAGAGAGTATGTTTAGTAGTATTTTTTTTTCTTACTGAAGTCTCTCTCTGGTGATGATGCCTCACTGTGGCATGGTGATGACCTTGTGTTCATCAGAGGCTATGCCAGGCCCTGCCAAGCCTCGTGTGCAGGCCTGATGGTGGACTGACTGTGTACTTGCCCGTCTGGGTGGCCTTCTCATCCTGAGCCTTCCAACCCCGGAGTGTCCCTTCACAATGCTGACCACCCACCTCTGTGATTTGTGAGTTCCCTCCAGGGTCACTATTTTGGTGATGGGGCCTGGGGAGGCTGAGTGGTATCCACCTTCCTGGTTGATACCTTCTCCACCTCTTCCCCTCCCCCACCCCTTTCAGCTCCCTTGTCTATCTCCTGTCTTCCCCACTAAAATGGAAGCTTCCTGAAGGCAGGGGGTATCTATATTTCTAGCTGTATCTGTATCCCAGCACTTAGCACAGAGGAGCTTACCAAATGCCTGCCAAATTGTCTTGAAGACTAGCTTAGCTGAAGTCTGAGAGGGTCATCCCCTGGGCAGACCATAGCATGGTCAATTTGTAAACTTTTGAGTACTGACTGTTGCTGAGATTCTGAACCTGGGGAGTCTGTGAGCTTGTTTTGAAAAGTATTTCAATCATTGTATTTCAATATAATTGGTTTCCTTTGAACCGTGAATTTTATTTTATGAACTGAAAAACACTTTCCTGAGAATAAGCTCCTGAGCCTTCCCTCAAAAGTATGCTGGAAATCACCATGCTGGTCCTAACCTCTTGAATCCATCCATAATTTTGTCCCCCAGTGCTGAGATGGCTTCTTCCATTTATACAAATTTCTCTTTGATTGATTCTAGCATGTATACAAGCCATGTTCCTATTTAGTTCTGACTGATTTGATTCAAGTGTTCTCCCCAGTCAACATACTAGAGCCAACCCCATCCTGACAGACGAAAGAGATGTCCTTGGAGAATGCTGGGAAGTAAGAATTGATATAGCGATACGAGGAGAAACAGGAGAACAATTTATGTCAGGACAACAACATTGCAATACAAGAAAAACAACTCTGAAAGTCTTGGGGACTCTGATCGAAGGAAGAGGTCCATGAGGAAGCATTTGCACCCGTCTTCTCATGCCGTTCTTAGAGGGCCATGCCATGCTTTTATAGCCTTCCTCTGTCGTCTGCCCTTGATTCCATATTCTATTAAAAAAACCCCTATAAGTTATTATCTTCTTTTTAAAAAAATCTCATTTGGTTGGTGAATTCTCTTTAAAATTCACCTCAATCTCTTTAGAAAATCTCCCCCCACTTCTCTTTATCAGAATTTGTTTTCTTCTTTTTGTTTTGAGCATTTCATTCTTGCATGCTTCCTCTTCTGTCAGGGCTGACTTCCCTTATACCATTTTAGTCCATAGGATCCTATCTATGTTTTCTCTCAATCTTCTGAAATCTGCTCTCCCCAGATTTAGATTGTGTGTCAGACTATTCTGGACTTTCCTTTCTTCTATTGTAGATGGTGATCATTTCCCCACAAGTTCCCCTAATTTCTACCCAGTGCCTCCTGTTCATGAGAATCTTGTTCAGCATTCTACTCCCTCCCAACCTGATTGTCCCCATTTCATTCGGTTACCCTCAAGGTAATTAATTCAGTAGAGATGATCTCACCCCACAAAGGTGATTCTAGAGCATTCTGTTAATTATTTCATTAGTGGGGGCAGCCAGGTGGAGCAGTGGATAGAGCACCGGCCCTGGAGTCAGGAGGACCTGAGTTCAAATCCGCCCTCAGACATATAACCCTCATTAGCTGTGTGACTCTGGACAAGTCACTTAACCCTGACTGCCTCACCAAAAAAAAAAAATCTTTAGGGTTAGGAATGACTGATTGGATTGATTGAATCCAGCACCCTTCCTCCCCACCCTCATCTTCCTCCCTATGTCCCACCTAAGGGGACACACACATTTCCCACTAGTATACATGCAATATCCAAAAAGCTAGGGGAAATCTCTAGCATGTCAGGTAGCTCCCAATGAAGATTTACAAGAGGACATGTAGAAGAGGTGGACAGGTGCAAGGTACAGAGGATAAGAAGGCAGGGAGGAGTTGCAATTTGAGTCATTAGAAGCTGTACCCACACCAGGGAGCTGAATGAAGGAATAAAAAAAGCATTTATTAAGTACTTCTTCTGTACTAAGCACTGTGCTAAGCACTGAGGATACAAATACATCATCAAGACAAAACCCCTACCCTCAAGGAGTTTCTATTCTAATAATGTTCTAATATTATATTCTAATAATAGGAGACAACACATCTAAGTGGCCAAGAAAGCCTGTTTTGGTTTAAGAGGCATGATGAATGGATCTACAGAGCAATGGGTTGACAGATCCTTTACAGAAACAATAGCAGACCTGGACAAATCCAACAGAAGTATAAGTAAGAATGAAGTTAAGACTCTAGAGAAGTTAGACAGACCTCTGGCCACTAGGGAATGGGGATCAACAGGAATACACCTAGTTCTTGGTCTTGCATCATACCTTTAAAAGATTGATCGCGTGCTAGAGCAGACAGAATTCACAAAAATGCAGAAGAGCATAAATACCAAACACATTCTTTCCTGAACACGACGCAATAAAAATCATAATCAATAAGAGGAATTTGAAGAAGGGACTCAGCCCCAAGTGGAGACGAAATATTAGAATCTTTAAAAAAAATGTATAGGTCAAAGAACCAGTTATATCAACAATAATTTAATTAGAGAAAATGACAATTAAGACACAACATATGAAAACTCTTGGGATGCAAAGCAGTCCTTAGTAGAAAATTTTTATCTGTAAACACTTTCATCAACAGAAGCTATTCCCAAAGCAAGTAGTAGAAAATGGAGGGAGGGGAGGGGAAGGGAGGGGATAGGGGAAGGTACTATGTGTGGACAGCAAGATGTCAAACCCAGATGGCTGAAAGGGATGTGTAAATGGCTTGGCTCCTAATGGCTCCTAATTTACAAAGTCATTACGTACATTCTTAAATGAACAATGAAAAAACCCCTCGTAACAAATATCCATAGTTCATCAAAACAAACCCCCAAATCGGCCATAGCCAAAAACACGTGACTTCATTCTACATTTTAGGTTCATCATTGCAGTGGGTGAGTGGCGTGACCAATGTACAATCCTCAGGACTCTGGTTGCACTAATGGCACTAATCAAAGTTCTAAAGTCTTTCAAAGTTGTTCCCATCTGCACGTTTATGAAAGTCTTCTCATATTTATTTGTATTTTTTCATTTCTTATAGCTTTCATGTATCATAATCTGCTGAATTATTCCATAGTTACTGAGAATGTCATACTCCAGCTTAAAAAACTTGGACACTTTCCTGTTTTCTCTAAGATAAAATACAAACATCTCAGGCTGGCAGTCAACCTCATACAATCTAGCTTCTACCTGCCTTTTCAGAATTCTTTTCCTCCCAATCACTTTTATTTGATCTTTTTGAACTCAATGATATCTTTCATTTCACTTTCATTTACAAATATATCCCTATATTTTGAAATAAAGGGAAAAAGGCAGTTTGTCAAAACTGATGAATACATCAACCAAATCCGGTGCTACGTGATATATGTAATGTCCCACATCGAGAGCCCCCCACCTTTGCAAGAAAGAAAGGAGGTACTTTTTCTCACCCTCTTCTGGGGCTGCTTAGTCATTAAAATTACACCGCATCCAGCTTTATTTTTTTTGTTCTTTCCATTTGCATTATTGTGCATATTGTCTCCTTGGTTCTCTTTACTTCACCAAGTATCAATATCTGCCCTCCCTCACTTGAATCCAATTCACTCGCATGTCATGGCATCACCTCCCTGATGTCATGGTTCTCTTTGAGAATGAAGGACAAACAACATCAGTTAACGCGTCTTCCAATGATTTTCTGAACTCTTCATACTCACTGTTTCACATAGCACAGTAATATAACATTACCAATCACTGACTTTTATTTATGCTTTTCTTTTTAAACATTTCCCAACATACCTCGTCCCACATTGAATCTTCCCTGGTAACAAAGAAAAATAAATTTAACAAAACCCAGTCAACAAAGCAAAAACCACTGGCAGTTTATGCGACATTCTACCCTCAGTCACTCCTCTACCAAGAGACTTTTTAAAATTGTCCATTGGGGGTTGGAAGTGGGGAGGAGGTATCAATGAGAGGGAAAAATGCTTATTTTAAAAAATGTGCATTATGACTATGTAAATTAGGACAATTATTAAC